CTCTTCCTTGCCTTCTCGTCTTTCAGTCATGTTATTGTTCTTCTTCCCACCTATTCTCTTGTTAGAAAAATTGACTTTGAAATGCCCTAGTTCACCGTATTTGAAACACGGTCTTTCTACAAGAGGTCTTGATTTTGATCTAGACTTTCCTCTCTTACCTTTTCCTCGCTCATTGCCCCTTCCTCTGGCAAAAAACCCTTGCGCTTGTTCTTTGTTACCACCAGTGGTCATATCACTAATTGCAATTTTTCGAAGATCATCCGCTAGAAGCGTTGTTCTAGTCTCATCCATCGATAAACTCTCACCCACAAACATCAGCGTTTGAACCAGATTCTCATAAGACTTCGGCAGAGATAGAAGTAGTAGAAGTGTTTGATCCTCGTCTTCCACTGTTACCTCAATGTCTTTCAAATCCGATAAAATCCTATCGAACTTATTGATGTATTCCTGGATTGATGACCCTTCCTCTATCTTGCAAGTATACAATTTGGATTTTAAATAGATCCGGTTCGTTAGACTCTTCGTCATGAAGGTGCTTTCCAACTTCAACCATACGCCCGCAGCCATTTCCTCTCCATCTACCAAGAAAGCAACATCTCTCTCAAGACATAGGATAATCGACGCTCGTGCTTCGAGATCTAACTCTTCCCAATCTTCATCAAACATATCTTTGTGCTTCTTTTCTCTTCCCGCCAAAGCCTTGTGTAATTTTTGCAAAATCAATGAATTTTTCATCTGCATCCTCTAATAAGAAAAATCATTCTTCCCATTGAATTTCTCGATCTCATACTTTCCCACTTTAACTTTTTTACTTGTAGATGTCATTCTCCGCTTGTATTAATAAATCCAATTTTCTCAGTAATTTCAACAATAATCAAGCACCACCTCAAATCGGGAATTTTACCACCTCTAATCTGAACAAGGGCTCTGATACTAATTTTTGGGAGCGAGAAACGCCCACACTGCCACGGAAGCTAAATCAATCCCGAGAGAAAACAACCTAGCTTGAGTTTACACCAAACTCAAACAACCAATACAAGCAATAAACGACTACACGGATAAAACAGTAAGTAAAGTAGACGAGACAACAGATTTATGTGGTTCGGCAAACTTTCCTACGTCCACGGTAGCCGCACAAATAATTTCTTATTTAACCAGAAGAAATTACAAACTTGCAAAGAGAAGATCTCAAACTTGAGATTTCTCAGTTGAATACTGCGTGTGATTTTCAATCAAAAATCACAGCTTAATCTCTCCACAAATCACTGCTCACAGTAGCTAATTTTTCTTAACCGAAAAATTTAACTTCTCAATAACCCTTGAGAAGTTCAGCCGTCACAGGAACTTCTCCTCTCTTGTTAAAATCGCGAAATGGGCTCAAAAGGAACTGGAGATCAGGATTTCCCTTTTATAGGGAAACCCTAGGGCAAGTTTGAGCGCTCCAGCTGGAGATCAGCTGGCATCCACCACGTCGCAAGTGAGATCCTCGTCCGTGCTTTTCCAGGCGAGCTACTCCTTTGGCAGGCGAGCTCATGGGCGACAGGTGAGCTCGAATCCCCCTCGAACAGGCGAGTTCGAAACCCCCTCGAACAGGCGAGCTCGAAGCCCCCTCGCATGCAGGCTCCGCAGGCGAGCTTCGACTTCACGCCCCCTCGCCATCGCTCGCCGTCGACCCCTCACCACCATTGCCGACGAGGTCGATCTACATCAGGTGTGTTTCCTTTAATTGCGCTCCAACTAGAGATCAGATGGCATCCACCACACTGCAAGCGAGATCCTTGTCCGTGCTTTTCCAGGCGAGCTACTCCTTCGACAGGCGAGCTCATGGGCGACAGGCGAGCTCGAAGCCCCCTCGAACAGGTGAGTTTGATACCCCCTCGAACAGGCGAGTTTGAAACCCCCTCGAACAGGCGAGCTTCGACTCCACGCCCCCTCGCCATCGTTCGCCATCGACCCCTCACCACCATCACCGACGAGGTCGATCTACATCAGGTGCGTTTCCTTCAGTATGAAATATAGGAAACTATAGGATATTTAGATGCAGCTAAGCCTTATAGTTTGAAGTAATAAAATCAGAAACAATTCTGATCCTCTTTTTGCCAACAAGAATTTAAGTTATGGCTCGTAGTTCCACTCCTTGGTTAGGTTTGGTTTAATAGTAGCTATGACGAGGGAAGACATGGCGAGGGGAGGTGCAATGAGGTACAATAAAAGATATAATGTACTTATTGTTTGGTTGGAGAAGAAGTAAGGAAAGATGTATGATGTTTTTCTTATTTAAATGAGAGATGAGAAGAAAATGTGAAATGATGAGTTAGTTAACGTACAATATATATTATTTTGTGGGGAATATTTTTTGTTCAAAGAATAGAACATGTTATAGCGTAGAAAATTAATAAGTGCTAATCTCCCTCGAGAAGCCGACATGTGTCTCATTCCTCGCCTAATCAGACGAATTGAGGTCGAGACAACTCAAACTACTCATATGGCCTATTGTGTCAACCGACAACTTGCGTTGCTGAGCCAAAAGGCGGTACTTGTCGGTCACCTCACCTGATTGAACCTACGAACAACCCGTACTCAGCCTACTATGTCTGCCGGCAACTTATGTGGCTGAGACAAAAGGCGATACTTGTCGGCCACCTCACTCCATCCACCCTACGAACAACCTGCACTCGGCCTACTATGTCTGCCGGCAACTTGCGTGGCTGAGACAAAAGGCGATACTTGTCGGCCACCTCACCCCATCGACCCTATGAGTAACCCGCACTCGGTATATAACTTGTGTAGTCGAGTCAAAAGGCGGTGCTTCTCAGCCATTGACCAAACAAATAGAGAGATGACAGTTACCTCGAACACCTCGCTAGCCGACTGCTCTCGCATTAACTGTTCTGACAAAATCGTCATTACTTTGGCCCACATAGTCTTTATAACTCATAAGACCCAGTCAGCTCTAAACACATGCTATCATTCCCTTATTAAATGACCAGATGACTCACTTTCTTCTACAGCCGACATCTGAAAGATATCTGCTGACTCAGTAGCCTGACTGGACTCGACCGAAGTTACTGCTGTCAAAATTAAGAAAAATAAGAATAAATCTGAAAATAAAAGAGTTAGAACATCAGGACTGAACGGGTGCAGTCGTGATTCACTGCCCTAGGAGGTAGAGGACCCGTCTATCGCCTTGGCGTAGTCGATCCTCTCCCCCTAGCGGTAAAAGCCCCCGGAAACGGCCAGCCTCTGTACTCGGGTGCGAGTATCCCCCTAGCGGTAAAAGCCCCCGGAAACGGCCAGCCTCTGTACTCGGGTGCGAGTAGCAGAGCTTCTGCTCAGACAAAAATGGTTACCCAAAAGTATAAGAAAATAGTAGCAGAGTAATTTTTTAGAGGAATGAGAGTGGCTCTACGAAAGAGAGGATCTTCCTTGTTGCTGTGTTTTTCTCCGAATGAGCTTCAGCTCCTTATATAGCCCCTTCAGCTCATAACCGTTGCTGATAGACCACGCACGTTATGCTGAGATCCCGCGTCTGTTACACGTTTCCATAACTCCCGCAACCGTTACAAACTTGTGTAAAACGTGCAAAAAATAAAACTTGAGAGGCAAAAAACCGCGTGCGTGTGCGGTGCGGCGTAGCGTGCGCGCACGCGTGTGGAGCAACAGCCCAAACAATACTAGGCTCAAACTAACTCAAAGCCCATTGAGATGTGAACCATTATAAACTTCTTGAACTTCTTCTCATTTTCCGATGTGGGACTATTCACAAAGACAAAATTAGCTTTTCATGAACCAAAAGTCCAACAATTACATTCATACCCCTCTAATCTACAGTAAAAGGAAACTACACTGCATGGGGTAACTTCTTTTGTTTTTTTGGCAACTTTGATCGTTGGAGGAACAACCGGAGAACTCAACTCCGCCCTCTTACGAGTTTTTTATGTATAGAGAAGAACAATGGGCTCTGGAACCAGTCATCTAAAGGAGTTTAAGGACCCTAAACACTCTCATAACTCTGACATAAACCCCCTGTTTGACGTCTGACATCAACTAAACATTATAAGGTAATTTGAAGAAATATACAAGGATATAAAAAAAATTATTAAATAAATATTTGTGTGTCCCTCCAAATAAGAGAAGCCCGCCCTATTTACATTTTCCTTTCATGTTCCCTTGTCTCTTTCCTCATTCTACCTCACCAAATCTCAGTTTTCCTTGAGAAGTCCTCTATCAAACATGATTTTTTTTATTTTGTCTCTCATCTCATCCAAGAATCCTTCCAATGGAATCGAACCTTTGATAGGTTCATATCTTATAGCCCGCTTTGTTTTTTTACTAAATATCAATAATCAATATCACAAAATTATGGACTTTTTTCCTTCACTTATGGATGTTGTTAGTGATAATTCCTTGCCTTTTTCTAGATGGTTTTGGCTACTTTCGAATTGGCTTCAAATTCTTCACATCCTTAATAGTAGATAAGTCAAAAATTAAGTATTAATTAACCATTTTAAATATGGATCAACCTTGTACAAGGCTTTGTGCAGAATTTTAGTGGAGAATCCATGGAAGAACCATTTAAATGTGGAATACCACGTATTGGATACATATTTTCTCACAAAAAATATATATTTGACTTTCCAACTTATGGAACTAGAGTACCCCAACTAAGAATAACCTTGATCATATTTTTGCAATTTTTACTATTCTACGATTATTTTTTCTTAAATTGCAAAAAAAAAGGAGAGAAAATGTTGTCTCATTTCCTCACGACCACCACCAACCAATACGTAAACATTCATCCTCATTATTCCCAACAATTTTTTCGTTCCTAAAAAAGCCCCCAACATCACAAGCAAGGACACTCGAGAGGAGGTCCGCACGTGCGAGAGCGGCGCAAGTTTGACCCCAGCGCCGTAGCCTCGCACGTGAGGACAGCCGAAATCATTGGCCGTGAGATCGCAGCCGTCCATTTCGTTTCCTCCACCAGCGATCCGCGTGACGTGAAGCGCCGGTCTCTGACAGGTCAATTATAAGGCGATTCCTGCTCTCGCCTTCTCTCTCCTCTTCTTCGTTTTACTCTCTCTCGTAAGTTTAGAGAGAGAAAGAGTGGGCGCTAGAGAGAGGAGGAGGCAAAAGCTTCCTCCTTTGAGGTATGGCTCCTTGCTCTTCTGGGTTCGTCATATTTGTTCAATTTTGATTGGATTTGATGTGTTTAGTGGTTTTTGCGGCTGTAGCGTGCGATTTTGGGGGAATTGGGATGTGGGTTTTGGTTGTTTTGGATCATTTGTTGTAGTTGTTGATGAATTTTGAGTTTTTTTGGAGTGATTTTAGTAATGGATTCTTGCTCGGGGTTCATGATTTTTGTTTGATTGTGTATGAATTTGACCTGTTGATTGTTTTTATCTTGATGTAGAGTGCGATCTTGGGGGAGCTGGAACGTGGGTTTTGGTCGTTCTGGATTATTTATTTGTAATTTTTACTGAATTTTCGTTTCTTTTTTTTTGTTCTTAGGTAGTATTAATCATTACTTTAGAAGGTTATTTTGTCGTTTTTCCTACTTGTTTTTCATTTTATTCTTGTGGGGTTTTCCGGATTAATTTGAGAATCGTAATGGGTTTTAGCTTTTTTTTTTTCGCTCACTATTCTGTTCATTTCTAAAGTTTGTTTCTTGCTGGAGTTTTTATTGATTTTGATGCTTTGCCGTTTTTGTTGTTGCTGTAATTTGCGTTATGGGGGGAAATTGAGTTATGGGTTTTGGTTTGGATTTTTTGTTGCTATGGTTGTGGGATTTTCTGTTTTGGGATTTATGGGTATGGTTAATTATCACCTTAGACGGTCACTTTGGTTTGTTTGCTCCTTCTTTTGCATTTTATGCTTGAAATGATATGTTGTATTTGTTTCGTTAAATTTTGTTGTTTTGGTTGAATTTGATATTCTGGTGCCTTGCGTTGTTCTAATGTGCAATTTCGGGGGAATTGGGATTTTGGTACTTTTGAAAAACAAATGTCCTATTTTTGTTTAATTTTCTTTCTTGGGATTGATTTTTGTTCATGGGTATTGCTGATAGCTGTGTCTGGTTATTTTTTTATTTTTATTTTTTTAAAATTTTTTTGCTTCCATTTCTTTTTTATTTGATTAAAGCTTGTTTTTTTTGGAATTGGGATATGGGTTTAGTTTTCTGGCCTGAATGTGAAGAGATACGGAAATAAGTTCAGACGTTGAGGTATGTTTTTTTTTCTGGGAATGTGGATGTGTGATTTTGGTTCCTTTGGATCATTTGTTGCAGCACCTGTTGTAGTTTAGTTTTTGGGATGGTATTTTCGAGCTCACCACTTCGCTTGATCTGCCACCGTCGAACTAATATATGTTGGTTTTCAATTTTTTTTTTGGGGAATTAAGGGTGAGTTTTATTAGTTGCTTTTGGTTCTTGCTTACTGTTCGATTTCTTTCATATCTTTTATTTTTATCTCTTTGTATGTCGTTAAAGTTTGTTGAGTTGGGATGTGGTTTGGGTTTTCATGAAGTTTGAGAATGATTTTAGTTATTGGTTCATTGTTCGTGCTTATTTTTTGTCTGAGATGATATGGTTCTTAGTTAGAAGGTTATTGTGGATTATTGTGTTGGTTTACTGCACTTTCTGCATGGGAATGATTTTTTTGTTTTGAAGTTGTCCATATCGCACGTATTTTGCTGGAAGTTGGTATATACTCGATAAGCATTTTTCTCAACTTTGTTATTGAGGAATGCAGAAGCTCTTTGGTAACAAGTACATTTTCTTTTTTTGTTGCAACTGAAAATAGCGATTTTTCTACTTGTGAGAAAAAGAAATAAATATCAGAGTGGCCCTCATTGGAATAAAAGTTTAGTTTCTGATATTCTATTCAGAAAATCCCCTTGACATAATGTACCTTGGCTGAGCCTATTGACATATGATACTACAAAATTGATTAAAAATTTTGATCCTAGATCTGCTGTATATCCGGTGAACTTCATGAATTTGATTTTTGCAAGATTTTCCCTAGTATGTATGATTTCTGCTTATTTGCAGATAATTTGAAATTTGAAAGCCCAAATCTGTAGTGAATGCCTACCAGGCTATATTTCCTCAAGGCCCTGCTCTGTTACTGAAGTTCCACCTGTCATCTTCAGACACTAGAGTCACTGGTCAATGGTATATAGTTGTTTTGTCAGATTTCATGCATATAATTTGTCACTTCTTACTGTAGATTGTGATCCTGCAATATGCCAAACTTTCTTCTACTGCTTCCCAATTTGAGGGTTTTTTTAATCAGTTCTGCTATATTCCATTAATTCCATAATTAGCTAATTTTCTTGGGGAAACTATTATAGGTGGCTACACTTCTGGATATAGGTTTATTTTGAATTGAAGCTTTCCTGTTCATATGCATAAGGACTTGCATTCTATTATGTCTCTTGTGCTCAAGTTAGAGTTGCATTAATAACTGTTAATATTGGTATTTTCACTTAAGCATCATGGTTCAAGAATGCAGTCCCTGGAAATTGGTTATGCTACTCGTGGCTAGCCTTTTACTTATTACTTGAAAGTAAATATATATATTAGTAGAAGAGAAAATCTCTATTAGAATATCTGGGCGACTTATAATCATTTCTCTTTTGTAAATCGTTTAAATTAAGGTCTATTTTAATCCTTACTTAAACACAGACCGAATGTTACTGTATGTGCTTCTGTGTTATGAAGACGGACTAACAAAACTGGTTAGCGAAGTTCTGATAATTGTTTAAGACTTGAAGAATACTTTGGCCAAAAGGTTAATGTAATGTTCTGAGACCAACAATCACAGTACTCTTTTTGGTGACATTTTTTGATGGGTTATTCTCCAGGGTTGTTAGATTGAGGATGGCATGCTCCATCAAATCAAATCATGATGCTTAAAAGGAAAGAATGTTTTTGGAATCTTATGTGACCATAGAATACATGTGAAAATGAAGGGAAATTCTAAAGGTCATTCATAAAACCAACAGTGCTCTGTGTTTCAGAATTTTGGACAATTAAGAAACAATATTTGTGAAAACTAAAAAAGAAGATAGCAGAAATGAGAACTTTACAATGGAATTTTAGACTTACGCTGAAATATAGGATAAAAAACGCATGCACTTGTAGGAGGTTAGAGTATGATCCTATGATTCCTATTGATGATAAAATAAAATAGAATCAATTGGTGATTAGGTCATGTACAACGGAGGCACTACATGCTTCAATTAAGAGAAGTGATGAGTATAGTTAATGAGATAAAAAAACACTAGAGGACTTGGTTGAAAGCAATTAAGAGAGATGATAGTAACTAACTTAACAGAGAAGATGGCCCTTAACAGAACTAAACGTTAAGATTAGGATTCATGTAGAAAATCCCAAAAAATCTTGATAAAGGCTTTGTTGTTGTCATTGTTGTTGTAATTCCTTAGCAATTACATTCCTTAGCAATTACACCATGATGAAATTAGATGCTCAACCAGAGACAAGACCTTGCAATCACTGCTCTTCCTTCTTCAACTAAATAGCTTTACATAGTGATTCTATGTTTGTAAAGCATCAGTTTTATCTGCATAAATTCCAATTTTACTAATGTAATTTTCTAGATATTGTTTTCACATGCTATCTAATTTTCATTTTGTTAATAATCACAGGTTTCATTATCTGTTGGACTTCCACCGATCATGGAAACAATCTTCTCACCTGTGTTTGATCAGAATGACTCTCAGTTTAGGCCCATAAACCACAATGATGCAGGTACCCTTAAGGAGTGATCTTTTGCTCAGTAGGAGTCAACGTTATTGTACCTTTAATCCATTTATTTTTCACACTATATCTCTGATTATTTTGCACTTTCTCCCTTTCCCTCTCCATTCTTCATGAGTGCTTCAATTTGTTTATTTAATTGTTGCTAATTAAAGGTGATGTGTAACAAGCTTGTTTGCTGTTTTGGTCTCTTTGGAATAACAAATTACATTAGTGTGTCTTTTTATACACACAAAGTTAAAGCAGAATAGTCTTAATCGGCTGTGATCTAGAAGGAAATCTGCTATATAGTAGTTCGCATGGACTCAAGAATCAGTTGTAGGTAGCATTGTTTGACAGAGGAATCATGTTCACTAGCAATTCTCATGGTTAAGCATTTATTCTGGCAAGAGACATGAAAGACAACATTGGAAGTCCTTACTTGGAGCATCATAGTCAGGTACAGATGGACTTGGTTAGATGCAAAGCTTGTAAGATCTAGTTTGATTTCCAAATAATGTTCTGGACTGTAGTATCACCAGGGGCTATCTCATGCTTAACAGCCCAAGAACCAGCTGATTTTAGGATTAAAGAGGACGGTAGGAAAAGAGAAGTTATGGGGCATTTGTGTTGCCGCCGCCGTCTTCACTTTCTGTTGTTATCTGTTAGTCAAGTTGCTTGTTAAAAACTTATATTTCATATATAGTAATCCAATGAGCTCAATCATCAATTGAATGTTGTGAACCAGCAATTCTGAGTGAAGAGTCTTATACAAAATCTGTATGCTTGAACTAGTAGTACTAGAGTATCACTATGAGCTCGCGCGGATTTAGGTAATGTGTATAGGGTGCAGTTGGCCCCGTAAACATTTACAAATTGCATATAATCCCCTGTAGTATTTGCAATCCACCCCCTAAAAACTTTTAAAATTGCACCCTAATCCAACCTACCTAGCGCTAAATAAGTTAGTAGCAAAAAGAATTATACCATTGGAAAATAAAAGCCAATTTAACTTTTCAACAATCAACTCAAATTGGTATTCCCAAACACTGAAAGGCCAAAACTACTAGACTAGAAACCCGAAACTACTACACTATTATGACTAATATAACATACTAATAACATACTAATAATAAGTTTGGTATAATATTATGACTAATATAACATACTAATAATAAGTTTAGTGTAATATAATATATAATATGTTACTATAATATATTATCATATAGTATTTTCTAATATATTAATTATATGTTGTTTTATTCAAATAATAAAGATATATTATAGTAAAGTGTATCATATTATAACAAATATATAAAGTGTTACATTATGATAAATTATAAAAAATTATAATAATATTTGGCAATATAGTTTAAATAACTAATATAATATAAATATATAAATATGTTACAACAAACTATATTATTATAATTAAACATTATATCATATGATAATTACTATAATATATTCAAAATATCTAAACTTTATTATATTATAATTAATATCACATACTATAATTATAGTATAATATAAATTAACAAAATGCATTATATTACACTATATTATATATTATTATATAATATAATATATTGTATATTTTATATACTATATTATTATAATTAAATATTATATCATATGATAATTACAACAATATATTCAAAATATCTAAAATATATTATATTATAAGTAATATCACATACTAATAATAAGTATAGTATAAATAATAAAAAACATTATATTATACGATATAATAAAATGTATTATATTGTATTATATCATATTATAATAAAATATAATATAATATTAAAACATAATATGTTACATTTGTAATTAATATAATATATTAAAAACTTGATTACTTATTTTAATTATTTAATATTTTATATTTAGCTATAATTTATTATTTAGTTATTTTTAATATTTCATTACATATCTAGCATAATTAGACATATATTTGTAGTTAATATATGAATGTTTTTCAAAATTACCCCACTTGTCTCAAACTATCCCAATATGAGAGTTGGGGTAAATTTTGACTTGGGAGCAAAGTTTTTTCTCTATGAGTGGGATAATTTTATCCCATATGGGTAATTATCCCACTATTGTTCCAAAAAAACCAATAACACCATAGAGTAGAATCTCACTCCCAATGTCCCAATCTATGAAGCACGGACACGCATAACATGAAGCCGTGTCGTGTCCGTGTCGGACACACGTGTCGAACACGTGTCGAACACACGTATCCTATGTATTTTTTAGGATTTGCCTCGTGTCGGCGTGTCGGATGGCCGTGTCGGATCTGTGTCCATGCTACATAGGTCCTAATGAATAACACCAAATTGTGTTGTCCCAAATGTTATCCCACTTACCGCAAAATTACACCAACTAATAACAACAGCTCCCCCACCCCACCACAAAAAAGAAAAAGAAAAAAAAGAAACCTCTCTTGAGTGAATCCTTTCTTTTCTCTTTCCCGCCTTTTTTTGTGTGGAAAGGGAGTTAAGCTTTAAAGACACATGCTGTCTTAAAACTTAAACTGCGTGGCGGTTGTTATCCTTCTGTGAATGTATCTAATACCATATTATTGTCTCAACCAGTAATACACTAGCTGTAGAGTAATAGAAGGATAAAATATAGTTTTGCTTTTTTCACTCTGCAAGGTATATGCACTCATTTGAAGTTTTATCTAATATAAAATATTTCATTGTAGACATTTGTATTATAATTTAAAAGTTCTTGCTCAAATATCATATGGGTGATAATTGTAATACAATTTGGTATTAGAGTTATTAGAGCATTAGAGTTCGAAATGATAATAGGGTCACTGCCATCATCCAAGAGTTTCCCATCAAGACCGGGATTGGCTACGAGCATAACTCTCCTTGAAAGGTCTGGCAGAAATATTTATGACCAGGTCCAGTATGATCATTCAAAAGTTGACACATTATGAGACAAAATAAAAGAGGAATGCAAGAATTCCAGAAGGCAGTTGGCAGGTAGGAAACGACCTTACCAATCATGAGTTTAAGCTCACGTCGTCTAGGAACAACTCTCCATTCTGCCAAAGATCAAGAAAATCTAGAAGATGGGAAATATATTTCATATTTTCTGTACTGAATTACATTCAATTCTAGACACGGATAATGAAATGATGGAGGCGTATCGAGATAATTCTTGTGTTTATAACATCATGAGGTAGATGCAATCTTTTAATACTACTAGAATGTGTGAGCTCATTCAAAATTTTACTTAAAATTTGCCTTATCTTTCTTTCTCTTCTAAGTGGTATAAAAGAACTTTATAAGGTTAATATTGATAGTAAATTGGTCTGCATGAAAGCATATTCGTGTGCCTCTTTCTCCATCTTTCCTTTCCTGGAGCAATAGAGCTGATAAATTTCTGCTGTGATGGTTTTATTATATTTAACTCCATTGTAGTTTGGCTAGATCCTTGATAAAATTTGTAGATGCCTGTTTAATGGAGATCTTCTTATGCATAAGGTTACATGTAAAATTTCATATTTGTTAGATTTGTTTTAGTTTTTCAGGATTATTTATTAAATATTTTTTATTTGTATTTTGTTAGGTTCTGTAGTTTTATCTAATATACTTATTTCTTTCATTTCTTTTTTGCAGTTAGAGATGATAGCCTGGAACTTCCTCAGCTGGTTTCTGTTGATAGCATCAATGGAAGGTTCACTTTTGGTGATGCCCAAAATTGCACCGTTTGGGATCTCTACAATTCTGAGGTTGCTGCTTCACCCCTTGTTGGTGATATTGGCTATCCTGATGTCATAACAGCTGGTTTTCAAGATTATGAACACATACAATATGAAATGATTTTTGATCATGAGACTAAATACATGGTACTGCCTTCCCTCGAAAAACCCTTGGAAGTCAGTAGCATTGATGATGACAAATCAACTGAAGCTGCAATGTCTTCTGATGATTCATGCTTTTACTTAGCAATTCATCAAATGACATCCAAACTGGAAACTGAGATAGGCTACAGATATAGTGGCACGGAGGAAGTTGAATGTTTTGACCCACAGATATTTCTCAGAAATTTACCTGATATATCGGAAGCTGATTGGCCTAATTTATTACAGAAGGAAACAACAAAAAGGAAGCCTATCACTCTAGTACTTGATTTAGATGGTAAACTAAATAATAATTTTCTTGCATTCACTTATATAGTAACATAGTTTATATTGTCACTTACTTCAAATATCAGTTTGTATTTGGTCAATATAGTTTCCTATGGCTTTAGTTGAATGCATTAGTTCACTTATTACTCTCATGTATACGTCGCTTGTTAGTTTTTGCTGATTGTCTTTTTCTGGTTTCCTGTTTGATATGTTAGTGAGTTTCCACTTTCCAATGAAGCCAATGGTTAGTGGAAATATAAACTTAGATCATGCAAGAGACCTGACAAATATGACTTGTAGCGTCTGACTCATACTTATGGTATATATCTTCTCATATATATTTTTTTACTTTTATGTTTCTTTCTTTTGGTATCAAATGAATAAAGCAAGAAATGTAAAAGCGCAAGGCTAAGTTTTAGACCTTTTAATGAACCGAGGCATAAGCTTCAAAGCGTGAAGCGTAAACCTCATGATTCTTAAGTATTTTAATTTTAGAATTTGGAAAATTTATGAACATATAATATTTAGTGGTATAATAATTTACGAATAGATTTAATCATGTCCTGCTAGTAAATAAGAATTAAATATGTGAAGTATAGACTTGAATCATAATAAACTAAGCTACATGCATAGCATATATGTCTTATTTACACTCATATTGACATATTAGAGGTACATAGGGACATTTTTAAAGAATGAAAACCCTAATTCATTGCTGAGATAACTTGGGCTTATATAGGCCCCTACAAACTTACAAATAACACCCTACATATTATTAATATGTCAACACTCCTCCTCAAGATGGGCGAAAGATATCCGCTAAGCCCATCTTGTCACATCCCCTAATCATATCTAATAAGCTAAGTCCCTTAGTCAGACAATCTGCTGTCTGGTCCTTAGTTAAAACATGATTTAGCTCCAGTAGTCCACTATCCAACTTCTCTTTGATGAAGAACCTATCGATCTCGATGTGTTTGGTTCTATCATGCTACACTGGGTTGTTGGGGATACTGATAGCTGACTTGTTATCACACCACAACTTCATTCTTTACTGGTGTGTATGGACATATTGTCTGGTGCTGTATTCCCTGAGCTGTCAAATATTCTTCAAGCGCTCTGTTGGTATACTCTGTCCCATTATCCGACCTCAATACCTTCACCACTGCTCCGTATTAAGTCTGAACATTCCTATGAAAGTTTTGGAAGCAACCAAACACTTCACTCTTATTTTTCATCAGGTATAACCAAGTAACACGAGAAAAACAATCAATAAATATAACAAAATACTTGTATCCATTCATAGAACTTGTGGAACAAGGCCCCCAGACATCTGAATGTATCAAGTCAAATGCATGAGAACTTCTATGACCAGAACTGACATAAGAGCTTCTAGTAAGCTTTCTAAACTCACATGCATCACACACAAGTTTCTGTTTATTTGCTTTCTCAAATAAAGATGGATACAATTTACTTAAAACACTGAAGGATGAGTGTCCCAAACGCTGGTGATGAAGCATTAACTCACTTTCAGCACTCATTTTAGATCCTACTCTTGCTTTCTCTACGATTGACACCAACGCTGAATCCAACCCTTCACGATCCACATACCACAGTCCACTATGTCATGTGCCAGTCCCAAGTCTCCGCCCTGTCCCCTTCTCCTGGAAAATCACCTTGGGAATATTAAAAGAAACAATGCATTTTAGTTGGAGGATGATAGCACTAATGGACAAAAAATTAACTGGAAAGGAAGGAGCATGCAAAACATTGAACAAAGTTACAGAACCAGTACAATCGACTGTACCCTTACCAACCACCGGTTGAAATGTACCATCAGCTGTTTGAATACTATCAGATGATGTTAGGTGAGTATATGATGAGAACTCACTAGCATTACCTGTCACATGTCGAGACGTACCGGAGTCGACTATCCATTCTGATGATCTGTCGGGAGACATAGAAGCAAGAGCATGTATGTCATCAGTACCTTTGGTCGGATGAGCATATGTAGCAGTGTTGCCTCTGGCGAAGAACGAAGTGGATGCCTCCTCAGTCCCACTCCTCAAGTCTCCATCCCCTGCTACTTTCTGCTTCCTCCTGAGTATCGTCAAGAGAGCACGATCCTCCTCAGTAAAGACCACCTCATCTTCTTCTTTTTCCTCTGCTACCATCAGATTCACCCGGTTGCCTGCTCCTCTTCCACCTCGTCGACCCTCACGGCCACGGCCACGACCACGACCTCCGAACTGACCACGTCCATCCGAATCTCCTTCCTTGGGTGGTTTGGTGCAAGCATGCCTTAGATGACCCACCGCACCGCAGTTGTAGCACTGCCGAGTCTCTCCCCTGGATCCAGTGTTGCTAGAGACTGTCAGTGCTGATTTCATCACAGGAAGTCTACCTGTCTCCGCCTACAACCTAATACGAGTCTCCTCCTGCATCATAGCAGAGACAGCCTCCTCAAGCGTGGGAATCTTCGGATGAGCTAGCAGTAATGCAATTCGCTGAGCGAACTCTAATGTCAATCCCTTGAGAAACACCATAGTCCTCTCCTGTAGAAAGGCCTCACGTTCTTTACATCCCGGGTCCTTGCAGCTCGTCCGAGGCGAGAAGTGATCATAATCTAGCTACAGCCGCTCCAGCTCTGTGGCATACTCCTGTACAGTCTTATCTCCTTGGACTGTGGCGTCGATCTCTCCCTTAATCTGGAACACCCTCAGGTTATTCCCCACTCCATCATAGGTCCTCAACTTTTTTCAGACGTCCTTCACCTTCTCAATGCCATCCACTGTGGCGGCGATCGACTGGACCAACGAGTTAAGGAGCCAGATGTACACCAATATATGAGTGGACTTCCACTCATCTCTTCCCTCCGAATTCTCATCCGGCTCTGTCGCCTCTCCTGTCAAGTAACCCTCCAGGTTTCTTCTTGCAAGGGTGTATCTCACCCGCCGCGACCAGCTCAGGTAAGTACTCGGTCCATCAAGCTTCAGATCGATGGTCGGAAGCTCCAATTTCTTTGATGGTTTTGTCGCGCTCTCACCAGCCGACAACTTCATCAGCTTCATCAAAGTTGACACCTCCGCGAGGTTCAACTTCTTGATGATCCCCTCCATCGATCAGGCTTCAGACCCAACACCTGTGCACCTTCTCTTTCGACCCTTGTTGTGTGCAGTAAAAATTTCGGCAGCACCTCTGCTGCATAACAAGAGTAAGATCTCAAACAAATTCTTGTTTCTCAGAGAAAATAAGAATAAAAAACAGTGATATATCTCATCGCCGTGAGATATATACTCTTCCTGTCATCAGTTCGAGGACTGAGTCGAGAGAATCCATGCCAAACTCTAGGTTCGACATGGTGCAGCAAGGGGGGAGGACCGGGCGTCGGCAAGTAGTGGGGTGCGGTGCGGGTGGTTCGAGTAGCAGCGAAGGTCGAGGGGGGTTCAGGGTCTGGAAAAAGGGGGGAGTTTGTTATGGGGTCTGCAGGGGGGGTGGGATTCGTCACGGGGTGATGAGGAGGTCGGAGGGGCGGGAGGGGGGGGGGGCTGGGCGCTTGGGCTATCGGAAACAGAGAGCAGGAGACGAGGGGGGGGGGGTTCGGCCGCGAATAGAGAGGGGGGGGTTCTTCCGGTGTGGTTTGCGCTGCAAACGTCAGCGGGGGCGGCCGACTAGGCGGTGGAGGGGATGGTGCGCTTAGGGCGGGGACGGCGGTCCTAGGGGGAGGGGGCGGCGGCTAGGGTTAGCTCTGATACCATAAAGAATGAAAACCCTAATTCATTGCTGAGATAACTTGGGCTTATATAGGCCCCTACAAACTTACAAATAACACCCTACATATTATTAATATGTCAACAATTTTAATGTTAGCAAACATTCATTTTATATCCTTTTATTTTGTCTAAAGCGTGCGCTTCAAAGAGAAGCGCTTTTTGAAGCGCGAAGCGCACGCATCAGTTATGTGTTATGCTTTAAACCATGAGGCATAAGCTTCCAGGGACAAATAGCTTCTCTCTTGAGTTTCTAAGTGTTTACCCTTCTAAAAGATACGAAGTGAGTTTCAAAAAAGCTTTTTCAAACATTATTATTATTATTATTTATAACTTTAAATCACATTTATTTTTTGTCCTATTTGATACTTCCATGGTGACTGACAATATTGATTCTGCTGTACTCTTTTCTCTTAGAGACTATATCATCTAGATAGCTAGAATATTTAGCTCACTTTTGGCCTTTCAAGTCTACTTTGGATTTATCTCCTGTAATCCTTACTGCTTATATCAGATCCTTGTTGTGGCTTTTTTCAGCATAAGTTGCATAGGTCATGTCAATTGGGTCTTATATTCTTCAGTTGGTATTTTTCAGAATCTCCTATACATATTAATAGCTCATTAAAATCCGTATTAGACATGAACTCAATTTCCATCTCCACTAACCTTATTTTTGCTGCCTCTAGATAAAGATTGATAAGGGAGGTTAATGAGCCAATTTTGTTATGATGTTCTGATGGTCTTCCACTTTCACTTCCCTAATGCAGCCATCCAGAAAGATTTAACGCTTATTTAGTCAACGATTGTGAAAATACTCAATGAGGTAGTACTTTTGGTGGCATTTGCTGTTTTATCAATGATTAACGAACCAGTGTAGTACCTCCATATTCCACTTAGTACAATTCGACAATGGGCCCGAGTCAGTGATTCAAAAACTGCAGATATCAAATGGCATTAAATGCTTGATGCGCATGGGCATATAATTTATTTGTTTTCAGTTTGATTTTAGTCCTTGGTAGAAGTTGTGGAAGTTTGGTGTATCATAATATGATCTTTTGGATATTTGATCAAATCCCTCACTTTTGAATTATATATAGATCATCATAAGCCATGAGCCAAGCCATTGTTTTTAAAAAGGCATCATAGAGAGGGGAGGCACCATAAATATGTTACACCTGCACTTTGCAGCTGATCTTTATAGACTTCATTAGGGAAATGGCAGCCTGCCATGCCCTCTGTTTCT